GGAGTGGAGACAGGGCGATAACATGTTCAGCAATGCAGGTCTGTAGTGAAGAGAAGCCAGAGGGTTTTGTGATCACTGACAAAGATTTTGTGATCACAGAAAAAAAAAAAAAGAAGAAAGAAAATGAAGGATAAATTCCTATGAAGGTCAGTGATTTGATTTGTATGGTACCGTGACAAATGGAAACTCATACAACAGGAATTTTTAACTTAAAGTGTGACTTTAAGTCAAAAGTTATTTAAGCATAGCCCTGCTCTGCGTCCCTTATATATTCAAACTTTAAGAAGTCTCCCAGTCTTGAGGGCAGATATGTTCCCTCCTTTGCTAATTCTCTGCTTTGGCAGCAGGTATTCTAGATTCTTCTAGTGGAATCAGAGCTCCCCTCTTGGTCCCAGAAGGGATCATTGGTGTAGGTAGCAGCAGTGGGGACCGAATCCAGTTTGAAAGAAAGACTAATTCGAGAAAACAACATTGCTACACCTCGAATCATGATTTTCTTCTAAATAGGTTAAGACATCTTTTCTGTACGAGGTGATGTCTGGTTGCTATGAGACATTATCCTGTATTCAGTTGGTGTTCTCAGAACTGACTAGAAGACTTTTATAGGAAGAGTCCTGATTTTCTCTGTCTCACTCTCAATTTTTATGAAGCAGGGATGATGACACTTTTCCCTTTTCTCATAAGAAAACTCTGACCTGTCCCCATGTCTCCCTTCCCTGGCCGCAGCCACCGATTCCGCTCTGTCCGTGGGTTTTCCGGATCTGGATGCTTCAGACGCACGGTCTTGCTGGCCCTCCAGCGTCCCTTCTCTGACTAAGCTAGTGTTTTCGAGGTTTGTCCCCAGCTCCTGTTCATCAGTGCTTCCTTCCCTTTGCTGGTAGAGTGACATCCTGTCATGCAGCTGGACCACAGTTCACTGTTCCCTTGTCCCTTAGTGGTCTCTGGGCTGCTCCCACCTCCTGGCCCCTCCTGTGCACAGTGCTGCGTGGACACTTATCTGAACCCCGTTTCTGGTCCTCCTGGATATACCCGGGCGTGGACTGCTGGGCCAGTGGCAAGTCTATGTCAAATTTTTGAGGATCCATCAACTGTCTCCACGGCAGCTGTTCTGGTCCCACCAGCCACACAGCTGCAGTTAGCCCACTAGTAAAACAAGGTGGAAACTCGGGCTGGAGCTTACCTTGGCTCTGGGTACCCTGTGGCTTTGTCTCCACTTCCCCAGTGACCAGGGCTCCCTCCCTCAGCAGCAGCCACCCACCATTCCAGTCGTGGGTCAGTGGCCTTCCTCTTCCTGCTGACCTCACTAATCAAGGTCCTGGGAATGTGAACTTCCAGCTACTGAGAAAGCTTCCAAACAGCTCAGGACACACAGGCTAACGGGACCAAATCACCAGAGCACAGATGAGCGCATGTACCTGGGAGCTGGGCGTTGGTGACAAATACACGGCCACTCCTTCCCTTGGCTCAGTGGCCTCTGTCCCCGTGATGAGTCTCCAGTCTCCCCAGAGAGCCCCCCACTTCCAGCCCCCTAGGACCTGCTGGTGCAATGAGCAGGGGGGGGGGGACAGCATTCCTGCATTTGGACAGGTCTGACCTCCCTGTCAGCCAACAGGCCTCGGGTGTCCTCCTCCTGAAGCAGGGGCCACAGATGGAGCCCACGCGCGGTGTCGTCTCCAGGCCAGAATGCAGCGTTATGTCACTGTTTCTCCCTCGTGGTGGCCCTCCTGGCTCTGACCTGTCACAGTCCAGAGCAGGCTCTAGACTGAGCTCCCAGATGGCGGGTAAGGTCAGGTCCATTTCTAGGGCCCCCCACCCCACCCAGCGAGGACAGGAGTTGGCTGGTACCAGTCATTCCTGTGGCTGTTTGTTGCACACCAGCTCTGAGCTCAGGGCCCCAGGGAGGCAATGGAGCACCTGCCTCAGGAGCAACACCTCGCCAAGGTGGACATATTCAGAACCAAGACGGGGGCCGCTGGCCGCCCAGGGGAGCGCTGAGGGAGAAGAGGGGGGAGGCGGGAGGGGCCTGGAGGGCTGTGGGAAGGCTGGCTTTTATTCTGGGCACCTGGGAAGCCACGGAGCAGTTTCATGCAGAAAATGACCTGTGCAAAGACCTCTGGCTGCTAGGTGAAGGGGGGCAGGGAGACCCCCAGGCGACAGCAGAGCCCTGTAGCAACCCAGGCCAGAGGTGTGCAGAGGCTCAGACGGGGGCAGGGCCAGACAGGAGGCGGTGGGATGTAATTCTGAAGGGGAAACAGAAGAACTTGCTGATGGATTGGCCACGGGGAGGAGGGGGAAGGGCAAGTGGTAATGACTTCTGGGTTTAAGGCCAGGGCCACCGAGTACATGGTGGGGACCTCAGCCAAAATGGAGCAAGCAGGTGGGGTGGGAGCATATCAAGAATTTGTGGAAGGGGTTGGGGTTGGGGCTCAGTGGTAGAGCACACGCCTTGCACGTGTGAGGCACTGGGTTCAATCCTCAGCACCACATAAAAATAAATAAAGGTATTGTTTCCATCTACAACCACAACAACAACCATATATATATATATATATATATATATATATATATATATATTCAATTTGTGGGAAACTGGGCGTGGTGGTGCATCCCTATAACCCCAGCGAATCTGGAGGCTGAGGCAGGAGGATTGCAAGTTCGAGGCCAGCCTCAGCAATTAAGCAAGAACCTGTCTCAGAATAAAAATAAGAAGGGCTGGGGATGTGGCTCAGGGGTAAGACGCCCCTGGGTACAACAACAACAAAGAAGAGAGAGGGGGAAGTTCAATAAGCTGCTCATGATGTGTCAGGTAGAGCAGCGCAGTAGGTGATGAGGTGCCTGAAGTTATCAGAGGGCAGCCGAGTGTGCCATTGTCCCTGATACTGGCTGCCCCTCCCCTGGAAAGGATTACAGTCAGTTGCCCCTTGGTACCCACCAGGATTGGTTCCAGGACCCCCGTGATACAGAATGCACAGGTTCTTAAGTCCCTTATGTGAAATGGTACAGTATTTGCCTGTGACCTGCACACATTCTCTCAAACACATTATTTCATTAGTAGTATGATTTGCAGTGCTGGGGGGGTGAACGGGGCCTCCGCATGCTGGGCAGCTACCACCCAGCTGTGTGCCGGATCCTCCCATGTACTTTAAATCATCTGTAGATTACTTATAGTTACGAATAAAATGTAAATGCTGTGTAAATAATTGTTATACTATGTTGTTTAGGGAATAATGACAAGGAAAAAGAGTCTTCCATGTCACATTTGACACAATTTATATGTGCGTGTGTGGTTTGAACCTTGGGCTTCACAGATGCTGGGCAAGTGCTTAACCATTGCGCTACACCCGCAGCCCTTTTTATATTTTATTTTGAGACAGGGTCTCATTAAGTTGTTGAGGCTGGCCTCAAACTTCCAATCCAGCGTGAGAGGAGCTGTGTTTCCCTTGGATAAGGGGCCCTCCTTCCTATGGCATCTCTTTTGCTGGCCTTTGACTGGGCTCTGAGTGGAAGGGCTATGCCTCCAGGGGAGTGGGGCAGGGTGGGGCTGGAGGGTTAAGATCCATCCCCCTGCCCCACCACTTTGGGCCTTGGAAGATGCTCCAAGGGAGGACCCTATGCATCTTGGATCTGGCCTCTACAGCACCTAATCCCAGGGGTCCCATTTATCAAGGTCCTTCCTGGAAACCGGAGCTGCTCGAGGGCAGGGGTGGTGTCTCCCCTAGGTCTAGGTCCTCAGCACCCAGGACAGGAGCAGGTGCTCATGAACTGAACTGCCTCTCATTTAAATTGTTCACCCAATGGGCCGAGAAGCCATCTGCAGAGGTTAAATGGGCTGGGACTACAGGGACGACCTGCAGGGGCCTCAGCGTCTCCTTTTGTTCAACTGGAATACTAGTGATGGTGCCTTCCTCATAGAGTCTTTGCAAGCGCTCTGAGTGCTCCGGCAGGTACAGGCACTGTGTGGGAAGCCGCCTTCAGTTTTCCGGGCCCTGGACCCCCCCAGTTCACAGGCTGCTGAAATTCCTAAGCCTAGGTTCTGTCACAAAATGAAGAGCTTCTATCCTGGGTTGGGGGAAGGTGGAAGGGGCATGTTAACAGCCAACTTTAAAATCAGGCATAAAAAAGGAGCTGAGGAGAGGAAGTAATAGTGAGCTCTGGCTAGGGTGGGGTGGAAGGTCTGGGAAGGGCTGGGAGGAGGAAGTGGCTTTTGATCCGATTTGGTCTAGTGTAGGGAAAGTAAAGCCTTTCAGTGGCAGAGCTGGCCAGGAGGGGGCCACCCGAGTCATGCTCGCGGCGAGGATCGCCCGATTTACCCACCTGCGTCGCCGGTGCACTTGAAGCCACTGGATCCGAGCCCAAGCGGATCGCGCGCTCGGCCTGGGGGAGAGGAGCTGTCGAGGAGGGAAGAGCACGTGCTCGCGTGCCAGCCCGGTGGTAGCGTCCGGGGGCCGAGGGGTGGACCAGACGGACCAGGTGCTGGCTCTCACGCAGAGGGACATTTAATTTCGGAAAATGAAGCGCTCTCTGAAGAAAAGGAGGCAGGTCTGGGGCGGGGAGGCGAGTGAATGGGCAGGGGGCTTCGTCCGGACGGGTTGGGTCTGCTTGCCGTTTGAGAACGGAAACTGAGCCTGAGTGGTGCAGGACCGGCTGCAGAGGGGAGCTTCCGATCGCCCTCACAGCTCTGCAAGTCCCTGCAAAGCGCTCTGGCCCCCATTTTGCAGACGAGGAAACTGAGGACATGGGGCAACCTGCAGCAGATATTGCCGGGACCTAGATCCCAAGCTCCCGGCTTGCCGCTGGCGCAGGCGCTGAACTCCCAGGGGCGGGGCCAGGGCCGAGGGGCGGGGCGCGCGGAACCCGCCCCACCCACTGGGCGGGGCCTGTTACGGCCGCGGCGGGGCCGTTGATTTCGCCGCGGAACCTTCGCGGCGAGGGCGCGCGCGCGGCGGAAGGCATTGCGGCGGCGCGGCGGGCGTCCTCGGCTCGGCCCGGCTCCCGCCCGGGCGCGCGCGCAGCCCCTTCCGAGGGCCGCGCGGCCGCCGAGAGACCCGGGTCGCCGTCGACCGCGCAGCAGGCGGCGGCGGGAGCGCGAGCTGCGGCCCGCGGCAGCGCGGCAGGTGAGGGGGCGGGCGGGCCGCGCCGGAGCCCTGGGACCCGGCCCCCTGGCCCCGACCGCCTTCCGGCCCTGGAGCCCCCAGGCCTTCCGACGTCCCCGGACTCAGACCTCCCGGGACTCGGCGGCTTCGGGGCCAGGGTCCCCCGAGACCGTCTGTTCCTGACACCCTCGGGATTCCCTCGGGACCCGCCCAGCCCCTCGGATCCTCCGGCCCGTGGGCTCCCCTCTGCCCTTAGCACCCACGACCCCGAGGGTCCCCGGCTGCGCGTCTGTGTCACCTGCCTCGAGGCGTCTGTGCCCTCCTCTCAGCGTGAGGTCTGTGGGGTGCGGAGCCTCGGGGCGCTCAGAAGTGCTCCCGGAGTTGGTGATGGTTAAGGATAAAAAGTAGGAACAAGTAACAGGTCCCCAAGGACCACTTTGTAACCGGACGGAGGGCGCGATCGCAGGCTCTGCATGTGTAATTGTGTGCACTGGGGCTTGGAGGCCAGATCAGGCACAGGGTTTCACTTTTTAATGCTCTGGTGAGACTCATGGATAGAGGGAGGGAGCTGGGCAAATCAGGGCTCTTTTATGTTGTCTGCTCATTCTGAGAACAGCAGGGTTTCATTTTGTTTTGTGTGGTTTTCTTTTTTGAAGTGGGGAACTAGCATTGTTTTGAATGACTGATAGGTTCTGTTATGGTACACCGGCTTGGTTGGCTGGTACCGCGTTGGAAACCAACTAGTCAAGAGGCTAAGCTGTAGTAGAGAAAGAACTTGATTAGGATGAGCTGGCTGATGGGGATCCTACAGGGCCATCTCCCCTCCCAGGAAGCCTATTTGGGAGCAATTTCTGTAAGAGATGGTTGATCACAGGCTGATGGGCACCATCTTACAGGTGAAGGTTTGTGACCAAATAACACATCTGATCCACGACTGACCCTAATCTAGAGCTGCTTTTCAGTTCTGTAAATCTTAAGAACAAAGATTATTTCCTAGGGCTCTTCTTGTCATAGGCGGTTCTTTGCCCATAGGCGGTTCCTTGCCCGTAGGCGGTTCCCAGCGCAGTCTAGAGGGATAGCTGCCTGAGATCTCTTGCTGATCATACTTAGATATTGGGAGAAAATATACTTCACCTGATTATTATGGCAGACAAAGGTCTTTGCATTGGGAGACAGAGGACACTGCCCCTGCTGTCAGGGCTTTATTGAGAGGCCAGGGGGGTGTGGTGGTAACAATGCAGTGGCCTTGAATGCAGCTTGGGTGGAGGATTTTTGAGAAGAGGTAAGGGTTAAGGAGGACTTCTTGGGCTGTGGATGTAGCTCAGTTGGTAGAGTGCTTGCCTTGCAGACGTAAGTACACACACACACACACACACACAGGTCATCTTGGTGATGAGGAGATGGCAGGGAACAGGTGAGCAGATTCTTGAAGGTTGAGGCCAAGAACTTTGCCACAGTTATTCCAAGCAAAGGCAGCAGACAGCGTGTGGAATGACAGAGGGAGTTCAGCATAGATTTTGGAAACGTCAAGGTGTGGCTGGAGTAGAGCTTTGTCCTGGGAGTGTGGCTGGAGTTGTGTTCTCTGCATGGTCAGTGTGAGGAGGGCCAGCCCACCATGCCCTTGGGCCTTTCTGGAATTACTGCTTCTGCTAGTAGGGTCCTGGTAGATGGTGATCTAGCTGATTGAAGGAAGGTGAGCAGTGGTTGGTGGGGAGGAGTGAGGGAAGCATTTCCATTGGAGACCAGAAAGGGAGCATGGGAGTTTTGCAGAGCACAGGGATTGAGTCAGGAGTGGTGAGAAAGGGGCCCAGAGTCCAGCCAGGACCCACACATGGCATGCTTCCAAGGCTGAGCACCTTGGGGAAGCAGGAGAACACTGAAGTATTTAAGGAGGAGAGTAAAGCGGCTTGGGTGGTGGTGGGGAGACTTGTTTGGAGGGAGCAAGATTATTGAGAGTTGGGGATGACCTGGACCAAGGTGATAGCCTCCTGGGGCGTGGCGGAGCTTCTGAAATCCCAGGCCTAAAAGACAGCCTGGGGATTGACCTGGGAATGTTTAGGTCAGGTTTTGTCATTAATTCATCAGGTATGTGTTCACCTTAGAGCTTCATCAGGGTGACAGTGTGTGTCACAGTGAGCCTACTAAGTACCCAGAAGTTACACCTGTCATAGAGTGGGCAGGGTGAAGGGGCCTGACTCTCAGAAGTGGCCGAGTTCATGCTGGCCTGGGGGATCCTGAAGGAAGTGGCAAACCTTTGAAGGACAGAGAAATTCAGATGTGTCAATTGTTACTGGAGACAATGTGGGATTACAGGTGCTGGAGCTGCAAGCAGGTTTGAGTGTCCAGTTAAGTTATGAGACTTTGAGGCAGTGGCAGACGTGGATCAGAGAGATTTGGGAAGAAAGTGCTACAGGACTCCCTCTGTTGAAGTCTGGGCTGGGTGCGGGAGCCTGGGCTAGCCCTGTTGAAGACGACAGTGTTCTGTATACAGTCCAGTAAGCTGGCCACACAGCAACTGTGATGGGTCAAAGAAGAACTGAAGTGTTTTGATTCACTTCATTTTGATGAATTAAATAGGAAAGCTCCACTATCATACAGCTGTAGTGTCACAGGAACATGCTGCTCTTTTAAGTGTTGTCCCATTTAGTGTTTCCAGCCACCCTAGGAGGTAGATGCTGTTGCTCCTTTTTACACATAAAAGAAATAGGCTCACAAGGAGTGGTTTCCTAAGTGTTAAGCAGTGCAGCCAGTATTGGTGTTGGTGGGGTGCTTTCTATGATATCCTGCTTCCTTCACCCAAGGAGCCTGGAGCTTAGTTTTCCTGCAGGGAGAATGGAGTATTGTTTTCCTCTTGTAGCCCGCCTTATCTATTCCAGCTAAAGTTAACACAGACAGTAGTGTGACAAGCCAGCAAAGACCAAACATAGAACTTCTGTGAGCTGATTGGTTTTCCTGGGGCTCCACTAATTGCTGACTTCTCTCTTAGCATTTCTGGGGCATGAATGGAGTAAGAGCTGATGAAATTGCAAACTGCACTCTGTTATGTGTGCAGATTTGGTGCTCTGGAGGTGGAAATGAGTGCCTGAGATGGAGTTTTGGGTCACAGTGGACCAGGCATTGCCCAAGGTAATGGAAAGAGTCTGGGACATGAGCCAGGGGCAAGTTTACAGTTTGTTCCTAACTCATTGGGAGACACTTAACCAGGTCATTGCCTCTCAGTCTCCTTATCTCTTCAGAAAAATGAGGGTATTTGGTATCTATCAGCTTTAAGATTCCTCCAGCTCTGGATTTCTGTAGTTCAAGGTTAATGGGAGATCTGCTTTCTAGAACATCTCTTCTGGATCCTCTTGGGAGGGGACATGGTGGAGGAGAAGTGTGCTTTGGCCTCAGTTTTGTTGTCACCATTACTAGCTTATTAAGTAACACAGCTTCTTGAGTTATGTGACGTGTCACATCTGATGGAAACATCTATTTTCCCGGATGGCAGGTTCCCAGTAAAATATCAGGTGTGTTTGTTTGCCTTTCCGGGCTGCGCTGATGTCAGAACAGGTACAAGACTACACCGTGGTGTCGGGCCTCTTCAAAGGCTTGCTGTCATGTGGGTCAGGGGAAGTAGAAGCCGTGACTGCTTTGTGGGGTTCGAATGAGACGATGTACAGAAAGTGTTCAGAGCTCTCCCTCAGACCTAGTAAAGGCTCGAAAAGTGGAAGTGATTAATGTTGATATTTAAATGAAACTGACTTTGAACTTTTTAAAAATTTTCTTGGTGGCAACCATGGATGGAACCCAGGGCTTCACATATGCTGGGCAGGTGGTCCACACTGAGCCACACGTCCAGTCCCTATTTTCTGTTACTGGTGATTTTACCTTTACTTGATTGGGGCCCATGTGCCCAAGCAACTCTGGGACATTGGCTTCAGGAAGCCAGTTAACACATTCTGATAATCTAAGTAGGCAGTTCTGTCGTAGTTCATTTGAGATGAAGAGAGTGGTCAGGTAGGAGGGGTTGAAATTAGGGTTTGCCTTTTCTGTAAGTTGCAGAAAGCAGTTCATCCTGAAGATTCCTCTTTACTGGCTGAAGTTAGATTTTACCAGAACCCTGGCTAGCCTGACACATGTTATGGTGACTGTCCTGGAAAGGTGATAACTGGGAAGGCTGCTAGTGCTGGCTCACAGTGATGGATGAGCTTTCACAGCTGGTTAAGTGCCCTTAGATATTGGGCTTCCTCAGTCTCTGCAACAGCCTGGCCTGGAAGTGGCCAAGCAATCCCTATTTGACTGGTTAGGAGGCTGAGCTTGGGAGAGGTCTGCTGGGAATGCTGGTGCTCTCTGAAGGGCAGATCCGTTTCCCTGTCTCATCCCAGTGCTGCTCTGGGTGCACACTTGATTTGGGGCTAAGCCTCTTCTTTGCGGTATGAAAGCTTGACTTTTTTGTCCCTTTGTGCCTTATTTCCAGTTCAGGTGGAGCTAGGCATGCTAATCACACTCACCTGAAATTCCTGTCAGCTGGACCCAGGTGGTTCATTGGAAACGAGACTGCCATGTGTGATTTCTTCATCCTTGGCCCCCACCTGCAGCGGTCCACTAGGAAGCCAGGTTGCTGTGAGAAAGGAGGCTTAAGAATTGGGCGAAGTCAGGGAAGCGCACCATTGAGAGAGGGCTGGGTGGCCTGCTGAGCACTGCTCAAAGGCTTCTGCCTCCCAGACCTGCCTGTGGGGCGTGGAGACCATAGGCCACCCTGGTTCTGTAAGTTGAACTCAGCATTTCCAGTCTCCTGTCTCCTTCTGCACATTTGTATACCATTCTAAGTGTGGTGACTTTGCTAACAGTGGCTGTAGTGGCACTAGTGATGTTTCTGGGAGTCATCTGCTCTGTTACCTGGCCTCGTCCTCAGGATTTTACATACCAACTCAGTGGTAGCGACAGTGACCTTGTTTGACTTTCTTGTCTGTAAATTCTGGGTCTTACGTGTCCCATCACTTTTTGAAGTGATTGCAGATGAATTGAAGGTCAGTGCTTGGAAGTGCTACTGTACATTGGCTGTATAAATGTGACCCCTGCCCCTTGTTGTGTGAGGCTTTATTCTGCACATCTGCTTTGTGTCCCTCTGTAGCCTGTGGGTGTGCATCGCCCTGCTTTTATATACAGCTTACATCCGTGAGAGTTGGTCACGGTTTCCATGTCTATAATCCCAGTGGCTCAAGAAGCTGAGGCAGGAGGATTGTGAGTTTAAAGCCAACTTCAGCAACTTAGCAAGGGGCTGGGAATGTCACTCAGTGGTTAAGCGTCCCTGAGTTCAAGTCCCAGTACCAAAAAACAAAACAAACAAACAAACAAAAACCTTAAGAGAACTTATTTATAGAAAGAAAGTAAGAGGTTTTAAAAAAAGTATTGTCAAGGGTCCAATAAACTTGGACCCTTCTAACTCACTATGCTTGTAAAGTAAAAGTGCAGCTTGTGATTGAAGGTGAATAATTTAGTTTTTTGTTATGCCCCCTTTTAATTTTAAATCCCAAGTTTTTAATTCTACAGATATTTCAATAAAATTGCCACAGGTACATTCAAATAGGTTTATGTATATTATGTTAATGTTAATTAGTATTATTGTACTATAATTATTGTAATTATATTTTTACCATATTTCTCTTATATTACTGTACTTCAGTTTTTATAGGCGTTTCACATCTGTGATGAGGGGAAACAATGTTTTCATAATTAGCATTGCTGGCAGACATTGGCGCCCTCTTCTCATAAAGCTTGATGGCCACTCAGTTATGAGCCTCTGGCTTCCTCAGTGCTTCCGGTTCCCTTCCTTCTCCGCCCCTCTGCTCTGGCCGTGGAGAATGGTGGTGGCAAGCCTTTTTGTCGAGTTCCATAGCTCCATGCTGGGGCCTGGCTGGCTGTGCTGGGGTTGCTCCCGTAGTTGTCAGCTGACTGCCTGCCTGGAACCGAGGGGGTCCCAGCAGCCTTGCTCCTGGTGGGTGGATGGGGTTAGCAGGTGGTAGCAGGTTGTCTGCCACATGATGTTTGTTTTTTCAGGAGCCAGGACTGGGCTTTACAGGGCAAGGTTGCAGAAGACAGGCTCTACTATTAAAGCACTTCTCAGACTTCTGCCTGCAGTGATGAGCTGCATAGCTGCCCATATTTAGACATTTACAGTCCTTTATAAACACTAAAAGACATTACCTCATTTCCTGTTTTTCAACAGCATAAAGATCAGAGCCAAATCTTACAATAACTTGGAGATTACCCCAGATCTTCTCTGATTTCTAAACCAAGGTCCAAGAGAGAGATTTCCATGGCCTGATCCTAAAAGTTTTGGAAGGACAGCCAGCCTCTCTCTGGTACTGCTTGCATCTCAAATGCCACTCTTCTAAACCAATCAGATTCCAGACAACAGCAAAACCCTTCAGAGGCCTTTCAGACACACTGCATCTTTTGGTTTCCTTGGTGATCACGTCACCAGTTTGTAGGCTCAAAGCCAAGTCATCATAGCAACCCATTTTTTTTGCAAGGACCTATCAGCATTTTCTAAAAGCAACATCAGGCCTTAACACACACCCTTAAAAACAGATCCTGTCCTTCTCATCCAAGGCTTTAATGAAAGTCTTACCAGGCATCTAGGGTGTAGTTTGGTGGCAAAGTACTTGTCTAGATGCACATGGCCCTGGGATCCATCCCCAGCACTGGTGTGTGTGTGTGGCGGGGGTGGCGGTCCTCACTAACATGTCCTCTGCATAGAATATAAGATCACAGTATTTCATAAACTAGCTACACAGCAGCCAAGACTGCCTTATCCTGTTTTCTCAGAAGCCAGTGCTACACAAATGTTCAGAGTCTGGATACCGGAGGCCTGATCATGCCAGGGGAGAGGGTTCTCCAGGAGTCCACCACAGTGGGTTAGGACTGGAGACTTGCTTTGCTGGCTGTATGAAAATAACAGGTCTACTTTTCATAGTTTACCACCTTTTGAATTGGACTCTTCACACAATGACTTGGCTGAGTCATGTGACTTTTTTTGGGCCACTGGCATATTAGCAGATGGATACAGGCAGAGTTCCTGTGCTGAGTTTAATGTCATTGGGTACTTACCCAGTTGGCTGCTTTGATCCTTAGAGGTCCACATAAGTCTTAAATTTTAGAGGCCCTTGTGCCTCTTGTGGTTGGAACCTGCATGTTGTGTTGAAAGTGCTGAGAGCCAGTTCCAGACCTTCCAGTCAGGCTGAGAATGAGGGTCAGAGTACAAACCAGCAGCAACCACCCAGGAGCACTTACTTTCACCCATGTGGAAGTGTTGTGAATAATGATAACTTGTTGTTTTGGGAAACTTTGAAATCACTTAATTTTGGAGTTAAGTACTCTGCAAAAGGTTTACTACTTTTAATACTTTTTGCAGATGTATAAATATAATATTTAGGTTTTGAATTTGTAACTATAATTCATGCATATATGGAGACTCAAAAGCAGTTGAACATCAATTGAAGGAACTAGAGATTTTTAAATTTCTTTGCCATGATAACAATTCGAGGCATGTGGTGTGTTTAGTTACTGGCTGTTAGGTAACTGTTTTAAAAGTCTTCTAAAGTACTAGGTGGTGAAGGCTGAGACAAATGAGCACTTCCCATAGGGCACAGGGAGTATTCTGTGGGTTATCTGGGGGGTTAAGTGGGAGGTGGGGCTGGGATTAGTCTGCTGATGAGCAGCTCCTTAACCTTCAAATAGGATTGAACAGTGTGTGACTCTTGGCATTCTGTCCCTGGTGGGGGGAGGGGATTAGAAAAGGAAGCCTGGGGCATCTACAGGAGAGCTGTTGGACTCAGCAGTTTTAACTCAACAATTTCCTTTGAGGGTCCTGAGCCTTCAAAACTCGGCTAATTAGCAGGAATCCACATTTCATAGTTGGCAAAGCTGAGGATTGATGAACGGGTCATGGAAAGCTCAGGGCTGGGACCCGGGGGTGTCTGGTGGAGGGATCCTACTGTAGAGTGGAGAGCCTCTGTATTTTTTGCTTTCTTTAGAAAAGTCCTCGTGTGTTTGACCTGGTAGGTCTGATGGGAACTGCACTGGGGAGGAGAAGGGGAGCCGGGGTGAGCAGCAGCCTCACTCTGCCAGCAGTGACCACATCTCTGAGCCTCACTTTCTGGGGGTTCTGTGTAGTGGGGACAGTCTCATGCACCTTGAGGAGTTTGCAAGCTGTGAAGTGCCCCCAGAGAAAGAGAATGTGTGCTCTTAGAGCAGCGTCTCAGGGTCATCTTAGGGTCCCACTTACCTCCACAACTTAAGAGTAATCAGACCGATCAAGCCTTGGGTCCTTACCCTGGAAAGTTATTTTTTGGTAACCTGATTTTAACTGAGGGGGGAAAAGATACATGTGGACTAGTGGTTTTCAGTCAGTGCGGGTTAACATGTAGCAAAGCGGGATTTTGCATGTCCTGCTGGCCTCCGTCGGGAGGCGCTCCTGCTCTAACTCAGCACCGTGGGCTGCTCTGAAGCCGTCCTAAATAGGCAGTTTCAAAGTGACAAAAAGCAGCTGTGCACCAAGCCTGTCATTAGGATATTATCCTACTAGGGTCCTGCATCAGGGACTAGATAAAGATGGTCTACCGTTTATTGGAATTTCATACGTGTAGCATGATTGTGAATGCTTTTTCATAGTATAATGAGACTTATTATAATGCATGAAAAAGTGGGATATGTACTAGGTTCTCAGATGATATAAAAATTTAAACTGTTAAGTCTCAAGGGAAATGTATAGATGATAATATATATTGCTCAGAGGTAGTAGGATTATAGGCCATTTAAACTCGATTTTTCTGTGTTCACAGTAAATATTATGGAATTGAGGGGAAACATGATTCTGGAAAATTAGTAGACGATAGAGAGAGCTTGGTGGATAGAGACCATATGGGTTCAGAGTCCTGTTTTGTGTCTGCTTTGGTGACTTCTTTGGGCTGGATTTCAGTTAGCCACGGGCAGGCCTGGCACCTGGGAAGTGCGGAGGGGTGTCGGGGTTCTGCCTCAGATCCAGGCCTGGACTCGGTGTCTGGAGTGCTCCACACCTTCTTTGAAAAGTCACATTCTGGCTTCCCTTGGTTATGCCACTCATCATGTCCTTCCTTCCGTGATCAGTCATCTGTGCTCACGTCCACTGGGAGTCCCTCAGAGTGCTGTCCCAAGAGACCCTGGGGGTGGGGGAAGACGGCAGCGTGGGGCTGCAGCCCTGCATTCCTGTGCCAGTTCTCCTTCCTTTTCTGTCTGACCAGACAGTGGTGCATCTCCAGCCTGATAAGTCGCAAGATTAGCAGGAGTGGCTGTGTGCTTTGTTTGTGTGGCATTTTTCGGGTACTCTAATTTAAACCGAGATCCAGGGCTTTTGGTTTTACTTTCAGCTGTAACTCTTCCAGGGACCTTCTGACTAATTTTTCTCTTTAGGATTCACAGATGGATTCAGTGGAAAAGACAACAAATAGAAACGAACAAAAATCAAGGTAAATAAAGTTAGCTACCCTTGCAGGCAGGGTTATTGACTTCGCATAGCATTTGTCTACAAAGACAGAGTGACACGCACACCTCCAGTTTTCTGCCCTTCTGCCCAATGAGGCGATCACAGTTGGCTCTCCAAGCCCAGCAGCGGTAGTTAAAGGGGTGGGAAGAATTCTTTTATATTTGCTGTCAAGTGACGCAGGAGGAGGAGCTACCTACCAGAGAACAGGTAGGGATTGATAGGTGTCAGAAAGCCAGGGTGTTGCCAGGAATTGTCTTGCCTGACACTGTAAGCAGGGATCATCTGTCATTATAGTTGGTCTTTTCGAGCTACTTGCAGCCTCAAAGGAATGAGGCTGAGCTTTTTGTTCCGATACAAATCACACAAGCACGTGCTTAGCACCATGGGTGACTCAAGGTGACTGAGCACAGCTGCCCGTGTCCATCATGGAGGAGGGTAGAATGTGTCCAGTAAATGCCTAAAGAAGAAAGACATACAGGCTTGGTTTTCTGGGGTACAGAGGGAACAAAACGTGTATTTAGGGACAGGCCCTGTTTGACTGAATGTCATAGATGTTGCCAGGCTTGGTTTTCACTTCTGTGTTCACTTCCCCTGCTCCTTTGTTTTGAAGTAGAAAGTTTTTAAAAAGCCTCATCCGGAAACAACCCCAGGAGCTGCTCCTGGTCATCGGGACTGGCGTCAGCGCTGCGGTGGCCCCAGGGATCCCTGCGCTCTGCTCGTGGCGGAGCTGCATCGAGGCCGTCATCGAGGCTGCCGAGCAGCTGGAGGTGCTGCACCCAGGAGACGTGGCCGAGTTCCGGAGGAAAGTGATGAAGGACCGGGATCTGCTGGTTGTGGCCCACGATCTGATCCGAAAGATGTCACCTGTGAGTCTCAGAAATGCTTCAGGTTTGGCAGGGCAGCTCTTGGTTCTGGATCAAGCTGGGTGAATTCTGAGCTGAGCGCCCTGCAGAGTGCTCCGCGAGCCCTGCTGTGCTCATTGCTCTGCAGAGTGGGGCTGAGGTGCTGATGTCATCCTTTTAAATAGGATAATGTCAGGTGTAGCCTGTGGCTCCTGTATCCCATAGTGAGTGGCCTGACTCTGCAGGGTTGGCTCTGGATATTGTCACGCTGCTGTGAGCTTTGTGATTTTGTGTCATTTGGTACAGAGGTGTCCTGAAGGTAGGTTTTGGTCTAAGTAGCTGGCCACGTCTTCAAATGACAGCTGGTCCCCAGAAGGCATTTTAAGATGGGTAGTAGGTCATCTGTGAGGCTTGGGACTCTGGGGCAGCCAACATCAGCAGGGACAGGGCGAGGTGGGATGGATTCCTAGCTCCGGAGGTGCTGGCAGTGAGGCTCAGGGCAGGCAGCGCTGGGTGAGGCCTGGGCTGCTGGGACGGTTGAGTCCACTCTCTCTCCAGCTTCACTCCTCTGGTTACTCACAGCAGAGTTGCATTTGCTGTCACCACCTCCTTTCTTCTCCCAAACCCACTTTCCAAAAAAAACTTTTTTTTTTTTTTTTGTAGTTGTAGATGGATAGAATATCTTTATTTATTTTATTTTTTTAAAGAGAGAAAATTTTTTTTATATTTATTTTTTAGTTTTCGGCGGACGCAACATCTTTGTTTGTATGTTGTGCTGAGGATGGAACCCGGGCCGCACGCATGCCAGGCGAGCGCGCTACCGCTTGAGCCACATCCCCAGCCCCAGAATACCTTTATTTTATGTGTTTATTCTTATGTGGTGCTGAGGATCAAACCCAGTACCTCACGCATGCTAGGCAAGCGCTCTGCCACTGAGCTACAGCCCCGGCTCTCAAACCCACCTTCTTAACCAGGCTTTGCCCCCACCACCTCCCTTGGCCATCACTCTGGGGGCTGATCTCAGCCCTGTTCCTGCTGACTCCCCGAGCCGTTCAGGAGACACTGCTTCCTTCCTCATTGAGGGCAATTTAAGATGGTTTCTTAAAGAACCAACCAGAAGAAGAAAGATTTTACAGCACTTGTAAAGTCTCAGAGGGAAAGCTGGGTCTCTACCAGGGTCATCATGCCCTCCCACAGTCTGGTACAGGCCACTTCTCACCGCCCTTCCTGATACTCCCACCACTCCTCCTCCAGCAGGAGCCTCACTGACCCTTGGACCTGCCTGAGCTTTACCCTAGTTCCTTTGCACTCGTTCTTCTCCCTGCCCAGACATTCTGGAAGCCCCTTGCCCGCTCAGGTCTCTGCCAATGTCTGTTATCAGAGAGGCCTTGCCTGAGCCACCCTCCTTCACAGGGCCCCTCCCCTGCCCCTCTTGTTTTCCCCATGGTGTTTATCACCATATTTGTACATGGCCTTTCCCTTCCTCTAAAATCTTTTTGTGGTGTTGAAAATTGAACCCAGGACCTCAGGCCTGCTAGGCAAGCACTCTACAACTGAGCTTCATCCCCAGTCCCCCGCCCCTGCTTTTTTTTTGGTACTGGGAATTGAACCTAGGAATATTTAACCACTGAGCCACATCCTCAGCCCCTTTTCACATTTTTTTTTAGAGACAAAGCCTTGCTGAATTGCTGAGGCCCTCTTGAACTCCAGATCCTCCTGCCTCAGCCTCCCAAGCTCCTGGGGATTACAGGTTTGCACCACAGTGCCTGGTTCCCCAGCCCTTTTTATCTTGAGATAGGGTCTCACTACATTGCCCAGGCTGGCCTAGAACTTGTGATTCTCCTACTTCAGCCTCTCAAGTAGTTGGGATTATAGATGTGCACCCCAGCACTCTTCTCTGTATTGTAATAAACTCCCTGAAGATGGATTGTCTTCTTTTTTTAAAAACTTCTATATTACCAGGCACAGTGGTTCACACTTGTAATCCCAGCAACTCAGGAGGTGGAGGCAGGAGGATCACAAGTTTCAGGCCAACCTTAGCAACTTGGTGAGACTCTGTCTCAAAATAAAAAGGATTGAGGATGTAGCTCAGTGATAGAGCACCCATGGGTTCAACCTCAGAAGCAGGAAATAAAGAAATAAACTGCTGTATCTGTAGCAGGCAGAGTGCCAACTACTTAGTGTGTAGTAGCTGTTGAGCTCTGATTTCTTGTAACTCTTGCTCCACCCTCCATAGCGCACAGGTGACACCAAGCCCAACTTCTTCCAGGACTGCCTGATGGAGGTGTTTGATAGCCTGGAGCACCATATCCAGAACCCGGTGGTGCTACAGTCCATCCTCAGCCTGATGGACAGGGGCACCATGGTGTTGACCACTAACTATGACAACCTGCTGGAGATCTTTGGGCAGCAACAGAACAAGCCCATGGAGTCCTTGGACTTGAAGGACAAGATGAAGGTAGGGCAGGGTGCGGCAGGCAAGGGGAGGCTCAGCGTGCACTTTGTGGCTCAGAAGAACTTCACTCAAGGCATTGAACTTGTAACTAAGAAGTGCCACTGGTGCCCCACAGTGAAACTGGATAGTCAGTCCTGAATACCACGCCAGTCTCTCCTGAGGCAGCTGGGTCCCCGAGGGTTGTGCCCTCTGCCTCTGAAGACTTCTCTTACTGCTGCTGTTATTTTCTTTTCATGCTGTTCAGTATATCTGACACCTGCACTTATTGATTATAGTCACCGTGGAAAATATGGGGAATAAAGCAGTATTAAAAGAAAAATTCCTAAATTCCATTGCTGGGAACTTTAACAAATTGGGATTTCAAGTTTTTAATCCTGTTTTTTTTTTTCCCCCCCCTTAATATTACACTGTGCATTTTCCTGTCATTAAGATTTTTCTTTTCCTTTGGTACCAGGGATTGAACCCAGGGGTGCTTAACCACTGAGCCACATCCCCAGCCCTTTTCATATTTTTTATTTTGAAACAGTGTCTTGCTTGCTAAAATTCTGAGGCTGGTTTGAACTTGTGATCTCTGGCCTCAGCCTCCCAGTGGTGATTGAGGATGTAGCTCAGTGATAGAGCATGCATGGACCACGCCCAGCTCATTAAGCTGTTTTTTTTTAAAGTGTGATTTTTAAAATGGCAATAGAATTTTGGTATATGTGTGTTTTTCTAGGGATTGAACCAAGGCCTTGCAGGTTAGGCAAGTGCATTATATATATCCCAGGGCCCCCCCATCCCCCCACTTTTTTGTGATACTGGGAATTGAAATTAGGGTGCTCTGCCACTGAGCCACATCCCCAGCTCTTTTTTAAATTTTGAGACAGTCTCACTAAGTTTCTCAGGCTGGGCTTGGACTTGGGATTCTCCTGTCTCCGTCTTCTGAGTAGCTGGTGATACCTGGCGCTTTCCTTTGTATCTTGAACTGGAATAACTATAGTTGGCCATTTGATAAGTACTTTTTTCCATATGTTTTTCCCTTGGTGTGAAAATAATGCATAGAGTAATTGCAGTGTAGCCCGTAACTGAGTGTAACCCGTAACCGTCCCCTTCTCCAGCCATTACTCCTGCAGTTTACACAACCATCTGTCTTTAAGAAGTTCTTGTTGAGGTACCGTGACAGGAATAACTAGTGCCAACAGCTAAGTTTCTATGTTTTAAAGGTTTAATTTATAAATTACAAAATCTCTCTTAACTCTTTTTAAGGTAGGTTTGAAAAAACCATGAGCTGATTTAGATGTTCTCTTCTTCTGATTGAAATGACGCCAGGCTGATGTTCTCCATGTCGGCTTGGTTTTGATAGGTTCTTCAGTGGGCAAGAGGCCACATCAAGTATGGAGTTCTTCATATTCATGGCTTATACACAGACCCCTGCGGGATGGTGTTGGATCCGTCAGGATATAAAGATGTCACTCAAGACCCAGAAGTAATGGTAGGGGCCGTCTTGGTTGGCTTGGTTGTGCCCCTGGGGAACCTGTGGCCCCGGTGCTGTGCTGCATCTGCATCCTTGCAGTCAGCCCCCCACACGTGCCAGCCACGGGTCGTGTCTCTGCGTCCCAGCTGTTCCAGGCCTCGCCTATGCGTAGATGCTCAGTGCACATCTGCTCTAGGAGGGAGCGCAGAAGACTTGGGAGGGTCTAGCTCTCCTCTCCCGCTCTGCGCCAGCACCTGCCATTGAGGGAGGCGGCAAGGCGGAGTGCACAGCACAGGGTCTGCATGTGCGCTCTAGTCGCGCCTCTCAGCTCACAGTTTTGCCTTTACTCAGGCGTCTTCTGCCCATTTCCTCTCCTTCCTTGACTTAGCAGTCTCTTCAGCCTTCACAACCCAGTCTTAAGCCTCCTTCTCTGTGAGGTGTTCTTGATGCTGTTCACAGAACAAAGTGTGGAGAAGCCGCGTGTTCCAGCGCTTCCTGAACACTTCTGTCCTGGCACGTAGGTCTGCAGCCTCTTCGTGGGTTCACTTGCAAGCTCAGGCCAGGTCCCTGTTCCTCATGCTCTTCCAGCCTGATTCCCTGGGGACAGAGTGTCAGCAGGTGACGCTGCTGACTGCTTATGAGGAAGTCCATGCTGATATTGTGCCTTGCCAAGATGTCTGCCTGTGCGAATTGGTGATTCTCTGTTGCTTGCCTGAGTGACCCCTCGCCATCTGTGCTTCTCTTCCCACCGTTGGCTCACTGTCACTCCTCAGGTCTCCTGTTCTCATTCCCCAAACCATATCCACCTGTACCCTAAGGATGCATTTCCATCCATGGTCCGTGGACAGATATTAGTTTCAGGGTATTACATGTGTAGAATTCTGAGCTGAAGATGGTGTAATGTCCTTATTTTATGTCTTAGTAATTTAAGATTCTACATCATTCTAGAAGAGTGGAGTTGGGTGTTTGCCCTGCTGAGCATTGGCTGTCCTCACCAGGAGATGCATTCACACTGGCCCCTGATTGGCTGGTACCTGGCCTGGCTAGGAAGAGGCTCCCTGACCCTGGTTGAGAGACGGACTCTCAGTCCAGTGCTGACCCTGTTTGCCCCAGGTCGCTACTTGGGGTTTGCCCAAGCCCCACCTCAAGAGTGTACCACCTTTCTAAAGACTTCTCGGGGTGACTCTGGGGAAACCCAGTGGGGAGCAGGATCTGAAAGCACGTGCGTGGGACTTAGTTAGTTGTAAGCTTCCACTGTTTCGCATACAAGCGTCCCCCTTTCCTCTGGGCCTTTCACAGGAAGTTCTACAGAACCTGTACCGCACCAAGTCCTTTCTGTTTGTGGGCTGTGGCGAGACCCTGCGTGACCAGATATTCCAAGCCCTCTTCCTTTACTCAGTGCCCAACAAGGTGGACTTGGAGCACTACATGGTGGTGCTCAAAGAGAATGAAGACCATTTCTTTAAGCATCAGGCGGATATGCTGCTGCATGGAATTAAAGTGGTGTCCTACGGGGACTGTTTCGACCATTTCCCAGGATACGTGCAAGACCTCGCCACACAGATCTGCAAACAGCGAAGTCCAGGTATGGAGTTTTGTCCTTACTTTCCAAGTACAAAATTCATGTTTTTTTTCCCAGTCGCCCCCTTTGGAGTTATAATTCACGTACCATAAAATTCACTAATATTATTTTTCAGAAATGCCTCTGTGATTTTAAGATTTGAAGATTGGAGAAAGTGGGTGTGACAATGACAGTCTATAATTGAACTTTGAAGTGATATTAAAGTATATAGTTGTGCACATGAATGTTGGACACGTGTATTCAAATTTCAGGTTATCTTAACCAATAAAGGAAACTACAAGGCCAACTTTATCTGTCATGAATATAAAAACCTGAAAAATGCAGATATCTTCTGCTCTTATCCTGTCACCACATTTAAAAGCTAAAATTCTCAAACAGGATGATTCTATGAAGGCTTTTATTTCTTCTTTCAAAGTACATTTTCCTGTTCTGCAGAGGGCAGCGTATCTCTAAGGCATTCTCCTGGGCCCTTACGAGGAGTGACCAGGATAACTGGAACTTCTCAGACCTTGTCATCTTGACATGAGGGGGCTAATGTCTTTGAGTTTGGTGTCATAAAACATGGATGACAGCAAGTGTGGAAAGTTCTGTATTGACTGTCCTGTCATGTAATACGAGACCCAGTTACTCTTCCCTACATGGTGGAATGAGGTCGGCACACAGGCCAGCTAGGAACTAGAGGGTGCTGATGATCCTGCAGTCACATGAGTTTTCACCAGTACTTTCTTTTCAGAGCTGCTAATAATCAGCAAAATAAGTCGATTCAAGTTGTACTTCTATGAATAACAGCATAACCAGGGCAGTAGTCCGTCTCTCTAGTTTCTTCCTAGGGGTGGAAGAAGGGAAGTCAAACTTGTGAGCTTGGCTGTGTACAGTTTGCAGAGACATTGCACTGTCCCCAGCTGCCCTTGCACTTGTGACTCCCTGGAAGACCAGGACCTGTTAACTGAGTTGAGCTTCTGGATCATATGGCTGAGTGGCTTCCTGTTTCCTCTGAGGTCACTTTTTCAGATCCTGGCAACTGAGTAGATTTTGACAAACTGCAGAGGTCTGAAAGGTCACTCATGTTTTTAATCTGGCTGTCATGAAGGACGTTTGTACTCACATTGACGGACTAGTACTCCTGGTGGGAGAGAATGAATGCCACTGACAGTGACATTAGTGATTAGCAATCATGGGTGTGAGCAGTGCTCCATTTGCCAGCTGGCTCTCAGTGCTTCACATGACACTCACTGAGCCCTGGTGTCAGCCCTGCCAGGAGGAGAAAAGAGGACAATGACTAGCCCAGGGCTTCACGGCCAGCACAGAAGCCTCAGAGCAGCCCTGGCCTCTGGCCCCAGTGGCCAGAGGAAGAGGAGCATCCCAGGTCTGGTTCTGCTGACTGTTGCTCTTTCTTCCCCAGATGCTGAACGAGTGGACAGCACCACATTATTGGGTAAAGCAGATCTTTATTCTTGCCGTCCTGTTTTTTGCCTCCACATTCTGTTTACCTTCCTGCCACTCTTTATGAAATCATGAAAGTTGTGTTTCTCACATTACAGAGTTAGCCTGAATTAAGCAGCCTTCTGGAGAGGATAAGTAGCAATACCTTCAGCTACAGTGAGGGACTACATCCATCCCTTCAGTGGGAAGCATAACTTAGGCTGTCTGCAGGCACCTGGGAATAATTTCTTCCCAAAGAACCAAGAGGTGCAAGTTGTTGGAGGGAGGCTGTTTGTATTGCACCATGCAGTAAAACACGCAGGAACCCAGGGCAACCTGTCTCCTCAGAAGCTTTTCTGTTTAGTGCTTGTTTGAAATGTGAACAGTCCTCTCGATGGACTCTACTCCGCCTGATTATAAATTAACAAGACTTAGCAGCTACCAGCGTCTTCCAGTGGGCAAGCTGAGCAGTAGGGATCTCCCTGTGAGTCAGCAAGGAGGGCCTCTGCAGCCGTTTGGCATAGGGGTTGCCAGCACCACATCTGTGTGAGTGATGGGTGTGCTTGGGCTGAGGAAGCCACCCTCGGCTTTCCATTGCCACACTTACTTAACTAACCCTCTAGAAGTCAAATTTTTCTTCAGAATAAAAGCAGTGACTTGGTTGTTAAAATGTGCAGTGTACGCGGGGGCTGGGGCTGGGGCTCAGCGGTAGTCACTTGCCTGGCATGTGGAGGCACTGGGTTTGATTCTCAGCACCACATATAAATAAATAAAAGTTTATCAACAGCTAAAAGATATTTTTAAAAAATCTGCAGCGTATGGAAGGGATTATTGGGCTATTGCTTCAGTAAGAGCAGATTTAGAAGGTGGCCCTTGGAGGGTGAATTCTAGAATAGATCAGCTTATTAAAATAAGTTTTTGACTTTCAGGTAATGCATGTCAGGACTGTGCAAAGAGGAAGCTGGAAGAGAATGGAATTGAAGGCTCAAAAAAACTCAGACAGTCAGGTACTGGTATTGTGTTATTCCATGGGGACCTCCCTGAGGTGTGTCTTATTAGTGGGTGGCTACAGTCCCAGTGCTTTGCTTTAGTGCCCCTTGTCCTGTGTTGGGAGCAGTGATTCACTCACTGGGTCAGAGAGCACTAAGAAGTTTTAGAGTGGAACCTGACCCCAATTGCCCAGAGGTGCCCCCTTTAACTTATTTAATTTTCTAAAATTATTTATTTTGCAGTGTGGGGGACTGGACTCAAGGCTTTACACATGCTAGGTATGCGCTCTGCCACTGAGCTGTGTCCCAGTCCTTCTCGCTAAGTTGCCTAGGCTGGCCTTGAACTGTGTAGCTGGGATTATGGGTGTGTGCCGTTGCACCCAGAACCTTTTAGAAATTTTGTTTTGTCAAGAAGATCACTGAAGGAAGCAAACAGAGGGTGCAGATTGTAGGCTCAGTTCTTTTGAACTTTCACCAAGTGAAGACACCCGCAATGATCACACCCAGTGCAAAAAGCGGAACAGCTCAAGGACAGTCGGGGCAACCCCCGCCCCCCGCCACTGCCCGCTTCCCAGCTAAAGTCAGGTTCTAGAGGAAACCACTTCAAATCATTGCTTTTTGCTGCTTCTATCACTAAGATTTATTTCACCTATTCAAACTGTTGATACTAGGAGAGGTGATGGCTACAAATCAAAGAAATAACACATTCCATTGGTGCTTGAAGTTGGGAAAGGAAAGGATTTACTTAACAAAATGTCAGTGTTTCTTGAGTTGTTAACGACCCAGTGCATGACTCCTGTGCAGTTGCAGGATGTGTGGTTGACATCAAGGTCCAGTGAGATTTTTTTCCTCACGCTTGTTTATTATTTCATTTTAGAACCTTAATGATTATTTCCATCTTCTTTTTTCTCTCTTCCCAGAATCAATACTAGTGGGGCTCTCCTGGATTATTTCCATTCTCTTAGTTTTCTCTAATGCTTCTTAATTTTCATTTTCTGTTTCCATTTTTTCCAAAACTTTCTGGGAGATTTTCAAAATAGTTTTAAATTTAAAAAAAATATTTATTTTTTAGATGTAGTTGGATACAATACTTTTATTTTATTTATTTATTTTTATGTGGTGCTGAGGATGAAACCCAGGACCTTGCACATGCTCGGCGAGCGCTCTACCTCTGAGCCACAACCCCAGACCCCCTTGGGTTAAATTTTTGACAGTGTGATCTTAAGTTTTTTGAGAGCTCTTATTTTCTGGTTTAGCCTTTCTCCTAGCATCTGTTGTTTAGAATGGTGACATCTTTTCAAATCTCTGGAGACACCAGAGGCCACCCTGGTCATTTGACTCCTTTCCTGAAAACACTGGATAGAGGATTTTCAGATACAGGACTTTATTTTCATTACTTTATGTTAAAAAACCTCAGTAAAACAACACCTTTACAACAATCTGCCAACAGTCTGTGAGAGCTTTGGAATATTAACATTGTCAATTATTGATTAATAGTTAAGGTGACTCCAGGGTGTGTTGAAGCATACTGTGATGGGTTGGGGATTCCCAATCTGAAATCCACCAAAGTCTTTAAAGCTCTTTTGAGTGTCAAGTCAGTGCTCAAAGTTTGAATTTTGGAGAACATTGGAATTCTGTTTTGGAATTAGGCGTGCTCAGTCCCTTAAAGTCTTGTCAATACTTCAAAATCCAAAAAACAAAAACAAAAAAACAAAAACCTCAGGAATCTGAAACACTACTGGTCCCAAGCTTTGGATATGGGATACTTGGTCTGTGCTGCATGTTTCTTCTTTGCTAGAAGGAACATACACTGTGATCTATTGTAGTCATTAAGATTCATAATGAATGCAGATGACACTTAGATAAAATGAGGCAATTTTCAAATGTCACCTACAGCATGAATTGTTGAAAGTTTTGGTGGCAGGTAGAGGCTGGAGGTTGTAGCGTCCTGCTTTTCAGTGGTGGATGAAGTGAGTGAGCCAGGGTCCTTCTGCAAGGACAGCTGCTGTAGACCCTGCATCCTTTCCTCTAAGTTTCATATGACTGCACTGAACTTGAGAGGCACGTGTATCTTTATAGGGAGAATTGAATTTTGATGGAGTTTTAGATAAAATTATTTTGAAATCTTTTAGCAAATATTTGGGTTGTGAGTTGACTTCTACAACTGAAATGAAACAAAAAGTAAAACTAATGTTCTTTACACCGGGCCTGGTGGAGCATGCTTGTAATCCCAGCGGCTCAGGAGGCTGAGACAGGAGGATCGCGAGTTCAAAGCCAGCCTCAGCAATTTAGTGTGGCACTAAGCAACTCAGTGAGACCCAGTCTCTATATAAAATATAAAATAGGGCTGGGGATGTGGTTCAGTGATTCAATCCCTGGTACCATCCTGGCCCAGAAAAATAAATAAATAAATAAATAAATAATGTTCTTTAGAGCTGGGTGCTGTGGTACAGACCTATAATCCCAGCTCACCAGGAGGCTGAGGCAGGAGGATCACAGGTTGGAAGCCAGCCTGGGAAACTCTGCTGTCTTGAGATGAGAGAGGCTGGGATGTACTCAGTATAGAGCACCTGGGTTCAGTTGCTGAACCACAGAACCCAAAGCAAAGAAAACCCTAGTGTTCTGTGAGTTGTCCTCTGAGCAGGTGCTTCTTTCCACTGGGCTTCCATTGCTGCCGTGTTCGGGGAGGAAGCCCGTGGCTGTCCCCACTGGACAGTGCCGTTTCCTGCTGCTCTGGTGAACGTGTGGTCTTGACTCCTGTATCTCCCTTTAGGGTGTTGTGTGTGTGCAGGTGGCAGGGCCTGTTGCCTAGTAGGTGTTGCCACAGAGCAGTGGGCCAGGGGTTCTGTCCTCTTCGGTGCCCAGTGGGAGCTCTGCCCCAGATGCCACCAGCAGCAGCACGGCCTTGCTGCAGGCAGTCATGTGTGCTCAGGGAAAAGCCTCTGGTCTCAGTTGTGTAGAAAGCTGTGGCTTGTGCTGCACAACGGTGAGAGGCCGAGGGTCATCTCAGACCTGCTGGCCTCACATTGCAGGCTGCAGAGCCCAGGGGAGAGGATTTCCACCTGCCCACCCAGAGCCTTGGTTCTTCACAGGCCCACCAGGCTCCCGCTGTGCCTGTGCTGAAAATGCCCATCCTTGGTCTGACAGAGAAAGAAGGCAGCGTCCAGGTTCAGTGGGGAGATCGCCTGGTCCTTCCTGCCTGGTCCTGTGTGGTATTACAGCTGCAGGGCCATCTCTAGACAGCAGCTACTGTGGCCTCCGGGGAAGGCTTTCCAAGTCCTCTCTCAGGCACACTGGGAGGTTTCTGAAGCAGCAGTCCTGTTCTATTGCAGGTGTTTTCAGCTGAACTTCAGTTTTGGTGTTTCTTTGCTTGAACAGATGATGCTGGAGGATCTTGAAATCTCTAAAACCAGTTAAGATCTACAACTTGAAAGCCAGCCTTCTGTAACCACAGTGCCATGCCCAAGTGATGAGGAACGTACAGAGGATTCCATGTGGATCTCAAGCCTCAAGTCACATGCCCAAGAGCCACATGGCTGAGTGACAGCTCCACTGTATGTGCTTAGCTGCTTGGGAGTGACATGGACACACTTCAGGTACATTTTGTAAGGACTGATGGACAGCTACCTCAGGGACCAAATCAGTGGGAGGGATGTCCCTGGTATTCCCAATTCCTATTTGACATGCTCTCTTATGTCAAGATGACATTTTTCCTAATAAAGGGGGAGAGTAAAGATTGTCCAAGCAACAGTAGTTGCCAAAGAGAAAATACGAACTGGACACTTAGTTTACTATCATTTTATGTGGAACATCTTTACCATAGAAAACATTTTAAAGACATGTTTGTTATGTTGTAAAGGATGAGTTGATGGCTCAGGCACTGGACCCAGGGCGTTTTTAAAGACAACTCGATTAGTAGGGCTTCTTTGGAATTACATCATCTTGGTAACTTCTTTTCCAAAGAGATGGCAAGTCTGACTCTTGCTAGGAAGGGTGAAGTCTCAAGAGCCAGAGGGTCTGTTCCAAAGTGCTGGTCAGTGTCGTGGAGGCTGTCCACTGCGTGTCTGGTAGTTGAGAAAGCACAGCGGGGCAGGAGACGGCTCTGCACTTTTAGATCGTCAGTTCTGAGCTTTCCAAGTCTTACTTCTCTGGGGCTAACCTTTCTGTTGTTTCCTAAAACCACCTTCCATGGATCACATTAAGGGGATTTGCAGGGAGGTGGGCAGCGCCTTGTGAAAGGCCTGCACTTGAAACATCCTCGGTGCTCATCCGCGTGGCAGCAGTGGTGGCCCCTGGCAGTGCTCATGGCGCCTGTGGCCCAGGCTTGCGTGATGCAGTGAAAGCTGAAGACCAAGGCTTCTCTTGAAAACAAGCCCTGCCTGGTCTCAGCTGAGGCTGCCCGTCTGTGATGTGACATTTCTTGCCAAGCCCTGTGATCTCCCGTTGACACAGGGAAGGTTAAGCACAAGAATGTCAGGTTGGGATGTACAGGGACTGGAGAAGCCAGAGACAGGACGGAGACTTTCCCCCTTTTGAAGCATGGACAACAAACCTTTTATGTCACTCTGCTCATAAATAAAAACTTAACATCAACTCTGTGTGCTGAACTTTTCTTTAGTTGTGACAAGTCTTGGTATAATGCATTTAATGAGAATTTTTAGCTTAAGTTACTAAGTTGTGAAATTCAGTAAATTATTTCATTTGATGTATTTATAAGTTTTTTAAAAAATATTCTTTAGTTATACATGGATGTAGTATCTTTGTTTGTTTACTTTTACGTGGTGCTGAGGATTGAACCCCGGGCCTTACACATGGGAGGCAAACACTCTACCGCTGAGCCACACCCCAGATGCCTATAAGGTTTTTTTTTTTTTTTTTAATTTTTATTTTTTAATTGTACACAGTTCCTTTATTTGTTTATGTGGTGCTAAGGATCGAATCCAGGGCCTTGCACATGCTAGCCGAGCGCTCTACCACTGAGCCACAACCCCAGCCCTATAAGGTTTTTTTAAAACATGCATTTTTCAGTTGTAAGTGGACACAATACCTTTATTATCATTTTTTTATATCTTTATTTATTTTTACTTGGTGCTGAGGATCAAACCCAGTGCCTCATGCATGCTAGGTGAGTGCTCTACTACTGAGCCACAACCCCAGCCCTGTAAGTATAAAGCTTTTAAAGATATATTTACTACTTGCAATCAGGAATGGATACTTGATTTTCAAAGTTGGAAAGACATGAGGTACTGTGGAGTAGGATACAAGAGGAAAAGTAAACCCGAGCCCAGAGTGCCAACTGTTGAGAGGATCCAATGCTCTTGTTGTAATGTATGAATATAGTCTTCTTATAATGGCTCCTTTTTTTTTTTTTTTTTTTCTTTTTTTAAAGTACCTAGGATTGAACCCAGGGGTGCTTAATAACTGAACCACATCTCCAACTCTTTTTATTTTGAAACAGGGTCTTGCCAAGTTGCTGAGGCTGGCTTTAAACTGTGATCCTCTTGCCTTAGTCTCCCAAGCCACAGGGATTACACGCATGTCCATGGGGCCTGGGAGTTTTGTTTTTTAATGTGTGTACCAGCTGTTGTGTTTTTATTATGTTGTTGTTCTTTTTTTTTTTTTTAAGGTTTCCCTCAACCCCACACTTTCATAGCCCTGTCGTTTTCATTTTGTGCTTTTGTGTTGTGTGGTGGGTTTTGTTGCAACAGAATTGACTGCTCTTAGGGTCACTGACAGAGGGCCTGTGAGTTAGTGTGTTAGGAAGAAGAGAAAAGGGGTAATGCTGAGTCCCTGCAGCACTGAAAGGGACAATTCAGTGTTAAAGTCAGTGTCTTTCAAGACAGAGAAAGCAGCAGGTGACCTGATGGTAAAGCAAGTACTAAGAGGAGAACAAGGGAGAACACAGTGGTTTCGCACCTACAGGTGAGCTCTTGGCGACTCAGTCCACGTGGTGGGCGCAGAGTGTTCTGTGTGTGTGGAACAACGCCTGGTATTCAGGAGCAACCCTACTACTCCAGGAGGCTGCTTCCAGTTGGCATTTGGCCCAAAGCCGACTTCAGAGGCCACTGCAGAGTGTGCCTGTCTTATTCTGAAGTGGAAATAAAGTAGTATATAAGTTTGGCTGGACACAGTTCCTTGGGAGGCTAAGGCAGGAGGACCCCAAGTTTGAGGTCAGCCTGGCAACTTTGACCCAGTCTCAAAAAATTAAAAAGGCTTGGGGTGTAGCTTAATGGTAAAACACCCCTGGGGTTCCCAGTATTGCAAAAAAAAAAAAAGTTGACATCCTTCCGAAATGTAACCATCTATTTACACAAAATCACTTGCTCCTTGAGAAGGCCTGTGTTCTCCAGTACTTCCTTGACAAATTATGTTTTTGAAAAATGTAGATTAATGGAAGTAGATGTAACTTGGTTTGCCATTTGTATTAATCAGCTTTTGTAATTATGACAAAGTAGCTGAGAAAAACAACTTGGAGGAGGTCAGCTGCCACTATTGCTCTGGACCCATTGTCCAAAGCTGTCACCTCGGAAGCAGAGTGAGGAAGGGGAAGGGTCTGGGGGACAAGATAGTCCCCAAGTGCCCTCCAAGCAGGTCCTAGTCTCCTGCTTCTTACAGTTTCCACCACCTCCTGATGGAGGTTGGAGCCCTCGTGGCCTGGTCATTTCCTAGAAGGCCTGCCTCTGAACATCTCTGCTCTGCAAACCAAGTCTTAACATGGGAGCATTGGGGTACATTCCAGATCCAAACCATACTGCTGAGAGCCACAGCCGGTAGGAATGACAGCATGGCATTTTTGGTAGAGAGGTGATGCCAGCAAGCCATTGAAATGATAATGGTTATGTTAAGATGTGTATTCAATTGGATATTAGACCCCTGCTGTCCGCCTTGGAGAGTTCCCATTGGTTGGGGGAAGTGCGGGAGGAGGGATTTCTGGTTGGTGTGGTGTGTCCCAAGAGAAGGCCGCGTGCGTGGCGTTCACGGGAGTTTTGGAAATAAAGTTTGTTCCTGCTTGAGTGGCTCGTGATTTTTGTGCCCAGCCAGACTGCGGCACCATACCACCATCACTTTTTTTTGTTTCTAAAACCACACACTACAGACATTTAAAATTATTTTTTATTGGTATTTTCAATATTGACATATAGTCCCTCTGAAATAATTTTCCACAAAAGCCAGGTTCAAAACTTACTAACCTCCCTTTGACTAATATATTTAAAATCCAAACATTTCAGGGCCGTGGATGTAACTTAGTGGTAGAGCAGGGCCTAGCATATGCTTGAGGCCTTGGGTTCCATCCCTAGGACTGCAGAAGAGAAGAGGGGAGAACCACCACGGATTTCTCTTAAAGATTACTTTAAAGGTGCAAGGCAAGCCGAGAGTGAAGATGGTGGTTGAGTTCAAAATTTCACATGACAAACTTTTTTCAAAAATTGAAATTAAAACTATGATACAAAGTCATACTTTTTTTTTTTAACATCCAATGTTGTCACAGAAAACTTGCCCTCATGGAATAGGGCCAGAACACTCCTTAAATGAAGTTGTGAAATTAAGCTCTACTGCCTCTTTGGCTACAACAATTAAGAATTTTCTTCAGTGGACACTGGGGCTGGTCCTGCTTTCTCTGAAGTTTGTTCCCCGGAACTAAAGAAACTAACCTGACCTCCTTAGGCCAGGTTCCAGATTCCACAGCTAGAGCTGGCGTGGGGTTGCTGGAGGGCACTCTAGCTTCTCACTGACTGGGACTCACGGTGTCTCCGGCTACCTTCCCGGCCTTCAGTGTCAGGATACTGAGAGAGATCGAGGGTCAACACTCGGCTGAACATGCACTCTTCATGCTGCAATGGAAAGAAGCCAGGTTAAGAGTCAGTTCCTCTGATTAGGGAAGAAATGTATTCAAGTAAGGCCATCAGTGAGTTTGGACATGCATTAAAAAGGAACCTCCTTATGCCTAAAAGTGCATGAATACCTGTGTTTATACCAGGTATTTATTTTTTTATTATCTGGTAGGAGAAATTCTGTTTCTCTTATACCATGTTTCCAGGTGATACCCTAATCTGTGGGCACAGGAAGGTAAATTTTCATTTGAGCTTAAAGGAAAATTCAGGAAGCCAACTGTCCAAACCCCCGATTTCTTGAACTAGTTGTCCTACCCCATTAGCTCAGGCAGGTGTGTGAATGGCTGAAGAAAGTTGTTTCAAAATCTCAGCTAGTTTACCACTTGGAATTCCCAGTGGACTTTTTTTCCCCCCCGATACAGTGATAAAATACATTTGTTTTTGCTCAAAATATTCAGATATTATAGAAATATGAAATACAAGTACTAACAGTGTTCTAAGTTAATGTGTACTATTATTTTACAAAACTGTCATACTGCTGTGCAGTTTTCAATTTGCTCCTGTCTCTTAAAATGTATCTTAAATCTCTACTGTCATAGGGAAATTCTTGAACAGTTACTCTTAAATTGTATTTAACTGAACAATCATTTAGGCCTGTGTCTGCAGTCTCTAGACTCCATGTGGGACTGCAGACTGTGAAGGGAAGAGCTCTGGCAGTCGGGAGCTCGTGGTGGCCACTCCTCTCCCCTTGGTGTTCTCTTTACCTCTGGATAGATGCCGATCAGAGCATCAGCTCTGGAATACAACTCTTCTTTTAGGGAAATGATTATCATCTGAAATTGTTCTTTAGTCTGTTCTTTGATGTAACTTGATACCTGTGAGGAAATAAGCACACATTTCACCAGCCAGGAAAGGCCTTGTTTGGGCTCTAGGGACAGCAGTTCTGCATGTTTCTGATTTGCCCATTGTAGGTGATAAGGCACTTACTTGCCTTTCTGGTAGTTAGGTAAATCCACTACAACTGCAGAAATGTAAGCAGCTCTCATTTATGTGTGGTGCTGGGGATTGAATCCAGGTCCTCCTGTGTGCTAGGCAAGCACTCTTATTACTGAACTACACCCTAATCCCTAAAAGAATATTTTAAAAAGTAAACTTGTAACTTGAGATACTATTGTGGCAACAGGCAATCAGTCTTTATGATCAGATATAACAAAAACTCAGATATTTATGGGGGTGAAGAAGGGCTGGTATGCCTGAATATGGGAAAAAAACAGCAATTGTGTATGTATTCATTATGAATGGTGAACTCTGGCCCCTTCAGGAAGCTCAATTCCAAGGAAATTAGAAGAGCAAAGTGGACTGCATAAAAATGAGTCTTGGAGAACACACTGCTAGGTGCTTGGAGAATGATGAAGGAGAAGGCAGACTTAAACAGTCTAACAAGATACTATTTGCCAGCTCCCTAGATCTCCATGGGCTGGAGTAGGGCTTTGTGTGTCTTGGTCCCGACTATATCCAGGATATCAGATACAAGATCCAGGAGCAGGAGCAGCAGTTTCAGAGGAAAGGTCAGCAGCTAACGTGAGTGCTGAGACAGGAGGCTCATATAGTCAGAAGGGCTTCAAGCCTTAGAGGCCACAGCACTGGCCTCTAAGATTCAGGACTGAAAGAGTCTTGGAACAGTGATAAGAAAAGAGGAGATAGAAGCTACGATTACGATTTGTTTATGAAATGTCCCCCAAAACTTGATCCTAGCCTATG